AGTTCATGGAAAAATTCTCTTATCTTTTAATTCTATTTTTCCACAAACCGTTTGAAGCCCTTCCCCAGTTCTCGAAGTCCACTACGTATATCCAAATCTAAAAGCCGGCATTACTTTAAAAGCAGGAGATTTAAACACAGACACTTCTAGTTGATTTATTCCACACATACTGGCTGATCGACTCCTCTTTGTGGCCCCTGCCTTCATGATAAATCCAGTCTAGGGGGTTCTAAAAGTAGGTCATCGTGGGTCAGTTTCATAGGGGCTTTCATTGAAGAAATGCCAGAATTCATTAGGGAAGTATCTAACCCAACAGGGAGAACTGGCAGGAGGTTGAATACTGCAATACAGGAAGCAATAGCTAAAGAAAGAAGAAGCAGAGGCTAGAAAGAATATTCTAGGCACAGAATAAAAGAGACGCCTTAGCTAGAAGTGTTTATAGCACTGCAGGCTGTTAGTGTGACTTACGCTTAAATGCCAGGTGGGAGTGATAAAAGGTGACACCAGCAAATAAGTTTAGAACTCTAGATGAGTTTGTAAGGAGTCTTTGAGCCAGGAGAGGGATTTTGGCTAGATGGTTGCTCTCTATTTTCAAGGTACAGCAGTCTATCTTGGTGCTATTAGGGATGAGCCTCACCAAATCTGAATTCACAGCATTGAATGAAGGTATTCGCTGCTGCTGGCGAGTCGGCTCATGTGACAAGAACAAAGGGTGTCTGATCTTCCTGGTGCCTTCTGAGCTGTGTGCAGCTCCATTTCCCCACAGATGCATTTATGCCATTGCGACGGGGTGGTGTTTGGAGAATAACGGAACTTCCTTCCTGTTTCCATAGCAGATGAGACTTGTCTTTCTTTTAGAACTCTTCCTCTCAGAACTAATCTAATGGCTTCTCAGATATTGAGAATAAATCCCCGGAGTTCCACCCCCCCCTTTGTTTTACCATGATTCATTGATGAGAAGCAGATGGTCAGGAACAGCTCATGCAGGTTCTAGGCGTGATCCATTAAACATGTAGCAAGCATGGCACAAAATCAAAACGAACTTTCCATCTTCAACACAGGAACCATGGAAAAACTACGTGCACTTTTATAATATGCTTACTCCCCTGCTATGTCTTTATCTTCCACTTATCCCCGAGAGTCGAGGTGGGGCATCCTGTAGATGTGGGCGTCCGGAAGTTCTCATCTTCTCCGTGTACATCGTTTCTCTTTCTTCCCCAGATGATTCAAACTAGTATGTCTTTCCCGATGGTATTCTTTGTGTCCCTTTCCTTCTCATTTAACTTGGGAGAATTTCTGAGTGCGATGTCCTATCAGGATAGACTCCTGAGATGAATTTAGGGGCTCTGCTTTTTATGAGGGGCCCTCTACAAGGAGCTTTACTGACCCCCACCATGCTGGATATTTATCTCAAGGCTCTGGAAGTTTTTGCTACTACCTCTGCTACTCAGTGGTAGTTCTTTATCCAAGTGTCAGTGCTTAACGACCAGTCTTGGGACCATCTCTCCCGAGCAGAGGTGTTATGGCTCAAATAAATGTCAGGCTCTCTTTCTTAAAGAAGACAAATAGATTGTTTTCCCCTTGATAATCGTTTTCTACTAAGGTATATTACAGAATGTTTTACATTATCATGATTTTGTAATAAAGTTATCCCCAAGCCAGTCACTGATGTGCCACTTGATACTGTAAAATGGCTTCAAGAGCCTGGATGTTTTCAGAACTCTTAAATAATTCATACCATGCTTTTGGTTTTTCAAAACTTTCTGGACTGGGATCTGAATAACTTTGGATCTGTTTTATTACCAATTAAAGGTGGACCAAATGCTATCAAAAATGAGGGATCAACCTTTCATAATGCTGCATTATCATTTGCTTTCCAAATGAGATGACCAGCTATTTTCTTTTTAAAAGATCCATTTTCCCTGCCCCCCATCTCTTCTGTGTAGGTCCTTTGACCTCTAGCGGTTCATGCTGAGT